TCATCTTTTATTGGGGTGAAGGGTCCAACTACATGTCCCAAAAGCTGCACTAGGGCCCAGAGGCTCTGGGTTAGCCCTGAGTGTGGTCTAGTTGGGAGGACCTTGGGTGCCCTGGGACCAGCCTCACAAGGAACCCATCTCTTCGTGGTACACAGCCCCAGCGGTTCAAGAAGGTTGCCCGGATTGCTGGACTTCTCCGAAGAGGCAGGCAGAAGATTGGTAAAAAGTTTAAGAAACTTGGCCAGAAAATCCTGGATTTTTTTCAGAAAATTAAACCTGAGGTAGAAACGTAGGCCTGCCTTGGTTTGTTTCTGGATTTCAAAAATAATAAATTTGGTGAAGGAAACTTCCCAATGGCTTTTGTCTTCTTTTAGTCTTTAACTCTGGAGGCTCTCTGAGAACATGTGTGTGTGTGTGTGGGGAAGAGTAGTTTGAGAGAGAGGAGGGCAGCTGTTCCATTGGAAGGTATATTTAAGGCAGCAGGGCAAGAGGTCCATTCCAATATATATATTATTTTTATATATTATATTATATATATCATATCTCTGTAATAAAATCTGGGCAGTGATGGCACATTCCTTTTTTTTATTTTGTTTTTTTTTTTTTGAGACAGGGTTTCTCTGTGCAACAGTCCTAGCTGTTCCAGAACCTACCCGGCCTCTGCCTCCCCAGTGCTGAGATTAAAGGCCATAACCAACTCAATCAATGTATTTTAAACTTTTTTAAAAAAGATTTATTTATTTATTTATTTATTTATTAAAATATTTATTTATTGTGTATATAATATTCTGTCTGTGTGTATGCTGGCATGCCAGAAGAGGGCACCAGACCTCACTACAGATGGTTGTGAGCCACCATGTGGTTGCTGGGAATTGAACTCAGGACCTTTGGAAGAGCAGGCAATGCTCTTAACCTCTGAGCCATCTCCCCAGCCCCCAAAAGATTTATTTATTTATTATATATACAGTGTTCTGTCTGCATGTATATCCCTGCAGGCCAGAAGAGGGCACCAGATATCATTACAGATAGTTGTGAGCCACTATCTGGGAATGTTAGGGATAGTTGCTGGGAATTGAACTCACGACCTGTGGAAGAGCAGCCAGTGCTCTTAACCTCTGAGCCATCTCTCCAGTCCCTGTATTTTAAACTTTTTAAAATAAAATTTATGTATGTGGGTATTTTTCCCGCACTACATGTGTGCCTGTAGTCAGAATAAGGGATCAGATCCCCTGGGAGTGGAGTTATAGATGACTGTAACAGTCATGTGGGTGCTGGGATCAAATCCAGGCCCTCTAGAACAGCCAGTGCTCCTAAGCTCTGAGCCTCTCTTCAACCCCAATCCTTTGTATTTTTTTCTTTTTTTAAAGTTGCTTTTCATTTCGTGTGTGTGTGTGTGTGTGTCTGCACACACCTGCATACTACAGCACATGTATGGAGGTCAGAGGACAACTATGGGAGTCAGCTCTGTGGGACCAGGGTGGGGGTCAGACAACAGGAATACCAGGCTATTGACTCCTGCACAACCAGACAGCACCCTGCCATCGGGACTGCAGGGTAGTGTCCTCAGGGGTCAGTGCAGGGCCCGAGCTTCTGCACCAGTATGCCAAGGGTTCTCTGAGGAATTGCAGCTTTGGCTCCAGAGGTCTCTAAGGGTACTAGGGGATAGAGTCACTGTAAGACCAGAGTGGTCTCAGAGGTTACTTCAAGTCTATGGCTCTAACCACAGCCTCCAGATAGTAGACAGACTTCCCTGGGTCTAAAGCTTGGTATCCTGTCTCCAGCAGGCTCATAAAACGCACGAAGGTTTTGACTCCAGCTGGTCACTCTGGGGCTAAGTGTCCAGCCCTACCCTTGGTCCTGTGTTTCAGAAACCGCCCTGGTCAACACCAGGCATCACCAGTTTCTGAAGCTGAACTTCATACAGATGTTCCTTTAGGAAGAGTCCAAGAGAACAGCATCCCAGCAGGCTCAGAAAGAGGAAGTCACACCCATCACCTATGGTGCATTACCAACCAAACAAGGCCCGGGAGGGAATCCCAAGTTACAGAAAGCCGAATGCATGTCTGTGTGAGGGTGCCAGATCCTCTGAACTGGAGTTACAGACAGTTGTGGACTGCCTTGTCATAGCTGAGGGTCTTACCGTTGGAGGCTCTGTCAGAAGCTCTTCCAGGATCTGCCTTCTTTTAGTACAAGTCTGAACCAAATAGTTTTGATTTGTTCCCTGTGTCTGGTCGGGTCTGTCTGGATCTGCTTTCATCTAATTTGAATTGGCTTTGTCCCACTGAGTTCTAATCTGGTTTCTTCATCTATTTCAGTGCAGATTCATCCATTTGAATTTGCTTCTAACTGGCCAATCTGATTTGGTCTGACTTTTAGTTCATCTGCTGTTGGTATTCCATTATGTTCCTATATTTATTCTAAAGAATATGTGTGTGTGTGTGTGTGTGTGTATTTTGGCATTGGATTTTTGGACTTTACGGTCAGAGGCATTGACTCAAAACTGCTACATGAAGTCTATGAGTCCTCTCCCATCTTCTCTGTCCCCCTCTCTATCTCTGTGATCTGAAGGATATTTTAAAACTGCTTTAAAGCAATCTTAAGTTTTAAATTATTTATTTATTTACCGAGGAGGGGTGTGTGGTGGTTTGAAAGAAAATGGCCTCCAAAGGGAATGGCGTTATCAGGTGTGGTCTTGTTGGAGTAGGAAGTGAATAACTTTGGAGGCAGGCTTTGATGGTTTATATATGCTTAAGCCGCACCCAGTGAGAAAGTTCCCTTCCTGATGCCTGATGGTCAGGATGGAGGACTCTCAGCTCCTTCTCCAGCACCATGTCTACCTGCACACCCCATGCCCAACCATGACGATAATGGACTAAACCTCTGAAAATATAAGCCACCCCATTAAATATTTTCTTTTATGAGAGTTGCTGTGGTCATGGTGTCTCTTCACAGCAATAGAAACCCTAACTAAGACAGGATGTATAACTAATTGTGTCTGAAATGACTACTTCTAATTCTGAAATAGAATTAGGAATTCAACTTATAAATCAGGGGAGTACAATTTAAGCCACAATGGTTGTGAAGTTCTATCTGTAGTGCAAACTCTATTTGGTCTTAATAAAAACCCAGAGTCAGATATTAGGAGGTGAAAGCTGAAAGATCAGAGAAGCAGAGCAGCCAGCCCTTAGAGTTCTTACCTCTACGAAACCCCCAGACCAAATGCGGTATCCTGTCTCAAGTACTCAGACTGAATGCCTTGAGCTCTGTCTCCACCGACATTCCTCTCTCTGCCCATCCATGGCCCTTCCTATCTCCGCCTTCATAGTGCTGGGATTAAAGGCATGTGACTCTCATGTACTGGGATTAAAGGTGTGTGCCACCACTGCCTGGCCTCTGTGGCTAACTAGTGGCTTAGCTCCGCACTCTGATCTTCAGGTAAGTTTGATTTGTTAGATCACAAACAAAGTATCACCACATATATCTTTGGGATATTTACCTGTATAGAGTATATCAACTAGGAATTTGGGCTTGGAGCTATGGGTTTGATGTTTGATCTAAACCTTTGCTTTTAGCAGTGTGCCCAGATCTCAGATCTGGCTGTGTTGCTTGGATTTTGTAGTCTTGGATTGAATTTTGGATAAGGACATCAGGCCTTAGAGCTGAATTTCACCACAGAACCTATATCTTTTTTTTTTTTTTAATTTTTTCGAGACAGGGTTTCACTGTCTAGCCCTGGCCATCCTAGAACTCACTCTACAGACCAGGCTGGCCTCAAATGTAGAGATTCACCTGTCTTTATCTTCTGAGTGCTGACATTAAAGGCATGTGTCACCACATCCCAGAATCTTTATCCTGAAACTCAGACCCAAGCAAAAGCTTCATGAACTGCTCTCTGGGGACCAGAAACAACTGTGAACAGATCAGGATGGAAGAGCATATCGATTCACCAGACGGATAAAGCTGCAAGAGTGAGTCTGGGTGCAAGCACCAGACGCATCCAGGCAGCTGCTTCAAATACAGAGAAATAATCCCCATTGTTTTATGCCATTGATAGTTGCTGTAATGCAGCAGTGTGTTTGCAGTTGTGCTGGTATAGCAGAGGCAAAACTACCACCAGACCCTTTGTGGACGTCAGAACTACTGACTTATTACCCAGTCTCATTAGAACATACCTCCACTGGGCAGAGGCACCTTGGTTCAAAGAAAAGAGCCTCTTCTTCCAGGACGCAGCCCTGCGCCTAAGTGCACAGCATGGTTTTGAGTCCACAATCAACTTAGTGAATGGGTGCCTTTCTTCAGCCCCAACCCCTCATATTTTTATTTCATTTTTTAAAAATTGTTTTTCATTTCTTGTGTGTGTGTGTGTATGCCTGCACATACCTGCATACTATGACACATGTGTGGAGCTCAGAGGAACTATGAAGTCAGTTCTGTGGGATTGGGGGTGGGTGGGTGCGTGGGTAAACGACGGGAATACCAGGCTTCTGCCTCTTGCATAACAGGACAGTAAGTCAATTCTATCAACCCCGAGAGAATCTTACATGATTCTCTCTTCAGTTAGCATGGACCAGAAACCTGGCTCCAGGGCAGATGCAAGGACTCCAATGGACGACAAAGAAAGCTCGTACAGGAGTGCTGCCGACCTGGAGGATGCAGCAGCACGGAATTTATTAAAGAAGCCAGGTCAAATGCTGGTTACACAGTTACTGCACTTTCCTGGCTAGTCAACAGGCAGTATCCTTGAGGAAGGATGACAGTTCTTTGCAGAAAGAGGAGTTACCAGCTGGGCAGGCAGTGGTGGTACACAACCTTTAATCCCAGCATTTAGGAGCCAGAGGCAGGAGGAGCTCTGTGAGTTCGAAGCCAGCCTGGTCACAAAACAAGTTCTGGGATGGCAAGAGAGAGCTCTTATACAGAGAAACCTGTTTCAATACCCTACACACACACACACACACACACACACACACACACACACACACACACA